ACAGGCGCCTGCCACAACACCTGGCTATTTTTTGGTTGCAGCCATCATTGTTGTTTGGCAGGCCCAGGCTGGATTTGAACCCACCAACTCAGGTGTATGTGGCTGGCACTTTAGCTGTTTGAGCCACAGGTGCTGAGCCTCTTTTTCTTTTCTTTTTGAGACAGAGTCTCATTCTGTTGCCAAGGCAGAGTGCCAGGCACTATCTTAGCTCACAGCAACCTCAGTCTCTTGGAATCAAGCAATCCATTTGTCTCAGACTTCCAGAGCAGCTAAGACTACAGCTGCCTGCCACAGTGCCTGACTATTTTTAGAGACAGAGTCTCTCTCTTGCTCAGACTGGTCTTGAACTTCTGAGCTCAGGCAATCCACCTGCCTCAGCCTCCCAAAGTGTTGAAATTACAGGCGTGAGCCACTGCACTTTTGTTGTTTTATCAGTCTCTTCATCATATTTACGACTTAGGTCTCTGTTCTTCTTCCTCAGATTTATTGTTGGATTGGAAACCTACTCTAGAGCTCTTAGATTCAGTTTCAATAATTCTTGGCCAGAAGAACTTTGATGAAGATGACTTTGTGCCTCCTAACACATCCCACAGGAGACAGCTCATGTCTTTTATCCTACCTTAGACTAAGATGATCCCTGTCAACCTTCCTGTTGCTGAATTTACCAGTTTCTTTTTCTTTGAGACAGAGTCTCACTATGTCACCCTCAGTAGAGTAGCATAGTGGGACACATCATAGTAACCTCAAACTTAGCTAGGCGCCTGTGGCTCAAGTGGCTAAGGCGCCAGCCATGTACACCTAAGGTGGCGGGTTTGAATCCAGCCTGGGCCCGCCAAACAACAACGATGGCTGCAACCAAAAAATATAGCTGGGCGTTGTGGAGGGCACCTGTGGTCCCAGTTACTCAGGAGGCTGAGGCAGGAGACTCGCTTGAGCCCAGGAGTTGGAGGTTGCTGTGAGCTGACTCTACCCAGGGGGACAGCTTGAGGCTCCTGTCTCAAAAAAAAAAAAAAAAAATAACCTCAAACTTCTGGCCTCAAGCAATTCTCTGCCTCAACCTCCCAAGTACCTGGGACTACAGCTGCCTGCCACAATGCCTGGTTATTTTAGAGATGGGGTCCCCCTCTGGCTCAGGCTGGTCTCAAGCCAGTGAGCTCAGGCAATCTACTGGCCTTGGTCTCCCAGAGTGCTAGGATTACAGGCGTGAGCCACTGCACCTGGCCAGAATTTACCAGTTCTTAAAGACCTTTCTTCAATCAGATGTTTCATGAGAGTTTGCAAAGAAAGATGTTTTCTTTTCTTTTCTTTTTTTTTGAGACAGAACCTCAAATTGTCACCTGGTAGAGTGCTGTGAAATCACAGCTCACAGCAACCTCAAACTCCTGGGCTCAAGGGATTCTTTTGCCTCAGCCTCCCAAGTAGCTGGGACTACAGGTGCCTGCCACAATACCTGGCTATTTTTTGGTTATAGTTGTCATTATAGTTTGGCAGGCCTGGGCTAGATTCGAAACTGCCAGCTCCGGTGTATGTGGCTGGTGCCTTAGCTGCTTGAGCTACAGGCACCGAGTCACAAAGATGTTTCTTTAAAGGACTCATTTATTTTCACAAGAGAGGGCATGCATTATATGTTACCCAAAAATACAGTCTCAAAGAAGGCACACATTTATTATCTCACTGAGCATATCAGCAGTTGTCCCTTTGGGTGGAAGGATGATGATATTTAGCTTGCAGGGTTTTACTAAAGATTAGTGTTGGGGGAGGGAGAGTGCCTTCCACAGAGCCAAATGCAAAGGAGGAGATGAGGGGCATCACTTTCCTTATTTCAAGTGTCAATCCATCAGTACATCCATACATCCACCCACTAACCCACTCATCCATCTACTTACTTCCTCACCCTTCCATTCCTATACCCATACATCTTCCCATCCATCCTCACACCTATCCGTTCATCTTTCCCCTTACCTATCTATCCATACCACCTGTCCACCCATTTATTCATTTACCCACCAAATCTGTCCATTCACCTATTTACCTTTCTATCCATTAACTTACCCACCCATCTGCATAGGTAGAGATTCATTTATCATAATCAAGAATAAGTAAGCACAGCCAGTATTTAGCCAGTACTTAGAAGTGCACACTCTATACTGGCACCCAGCTTTCCACACATCCTGAAGACAGGATTTTTTTTTTTTTTTTTTTGAGAGAGTCTCATTATGTCACCATCAGTAGAATGCCATGGCATCACAGCTCATGGCAACCTCAAACTCTTGGGCTTAAGCAATTCTTTTGCCTTAGTCTCCCAAGTAGCTGGGACTACAGGTGCCTGCCACACCACCCAGCTATTTGTTGTTGTTGCAGTTGCCATTGTTGTTTTAGCAGGCCTGGGCTGGGCTCGAACCCACCAGCCCCAGCATATGTGGCTGGTCCTATAACCATTGAGCTACTGGCACTGAGCCTGAAGACAGGATTTGAACTCAGGCCTGCTCTTCTCATGGGAGCAGTTCTAGTTGGGCTGAAGACAGAGATGAGCTTGACACTGTCTTGTGTTTCAGGGGTCCACACAGTCAGGTGATCAAAGTAGGTTCTCACAGAAACTTGGAAGTATAACCTGAAACCCCCTCCTCTCCTCCTTCCAAGGTGCCACCTGTGTCCTGGTCCCCAAGTTCTCTGCCTCCAGCTTCTGGGATGATTGTAGGCAGCATGGCGTGACAGTGATCCTGTATGTGGGCGAGGTCCTGCGGTATTTGTGTAACACTCCCCAGGTGAGGGTATAAGATTAGGGCTCTATGGTAAAGACCCCAGGGATGGGCTGGATATAGTGGCTCACACCTGTAATTCTAGCACTCTGGGAGGCTGAGGCAGGTGGATTACTTGAGCTCAGGAGTTTGAGACCAGTCTTAGCAAGAGTGAGACACCATCTCTACTAAAAATAGAAAAACTAGGATGGTGCCTGTGGCTCAAAGGAGTAAGGTGCCAGCCCCATATGTCAGAGGTGGCAGGTTTAAACCCAACCTCCGCCAAAATGCAAAAAGAAAAAAGAAAAACTAGCTGGGCATTGTGATAGATGCCTGTAGTCCTAGCTACTTGGGAGCCTGAGGCAGGAGGAGCCTTTGAGTCCAAGAGTTTGAGGTTGCTGTGAGCTATGACACCTTGGCACCCTACACAGGGCAACTAAAGTGAGTGAGACTCTGTCTCAAAACAAAACAAAAAGGGCGGCACTTGTGGCTCAAAGGAGTAGGGCGCCGGCCCCATATGCCAGAGGTGGCGGGTTCAAACCCAGCCCTAGCCAAAAACTGCAAAAACAAAACAAAACAAAACAACCAAAAATAAAACAGTTATGAAAACTGGGCTGGGCGAGGTGGCTCATGCCTGTAATCCCAGCACTCTGGGAGTCCAAGGAGGGTAGATTGCCTAAGCTAGAGCAAGACCCTGTCTCTAAAAAATATATAGTTGGGTGTTGTGGTCGGCGCCTGTAATCCCAGCTATGTCAGAGGCTGAGACAAGAGAATCTCTTGAGCCCAAGAGTCTGAGGCTGCTGTGAGCTGTGACAGCATAGCACTCTACTGGGGTGACAAAGTGAGACTATCTCAAGAGAAAAAAAAAAAAAGATTCAAGTACTGGACTCAAGCAAGGTCCCTCAGGTAATACACCCTAGACCAGAGCCTCAGAGAATGAATTCTATACACGTTTTCTGATAGTGGCTCCTTTGATGTCAGCTGTGCTACCTGGAGCAGGTGATTTTAACTCTCTCAGCTGGGGTCGGATTTGAACCCACCACTCTCGGTATATGGGGCCGGTGCCCTACGCACTGAGCTACAGGCACCGCCCAGGATTTTTTTTTTTTTTTTGAGACAGAGTCTTAAGCTGTCACCCTAGGTAGAGTGCTGTGACATCACAGCTCACAGCAACCTTCAACTCTTGGGCTTAAGTGATTCTCTTGCCTCAGGCTCCCAGTAGCTGGGACTACAGGCGCCCGCCACAATGCCTGGCTATTTTTTGGTTGCAGTTGTCGTCGTTTAGCAGGCCTGGGCTGGGTTCGATCCCGCCACCCTTGGTGTATGTGGCCGGCGCCCTGCTGGCTGAGCTACCAGCACCACCTTAAATAGGGATATTAATAGCCCCTACCTCAAGGGGGCATTATGAGAATTGAATAAATTAAATATATACAAAGTGCCTATACAGGGTAAACACACTAGATGAGAGCTAGCCTCATCCTTACACAGTCTCCAGGTAACTATCTCCAGGAAAGGTCCCCAGGTAGCTCTCCAGATAAAGCATCCAGTTAACACCTCAGAGAAATGTTGCAAGTAACTACCCTCAGGTAAGGACTTCAAGTAATTCCTCAAGATGAGTCCTTAAGTGACTCTCCAGGTAAAACCCCCTCAGTAACCCTTCTAGGTAAGACATCCAAGTAACTCCCTCTTCCTATTACAGTTCAAGGTAACTACCCCTAGGGTAAGAACCTGGGTATCCCCTCCACGTAAGACCCTAGATGAGACTCCCAGTTACTTCTAGGTAACCTTCCCAAGCAAGACTCACAAGTAATCCTCCAGGTGAAGAGGATTCTCTTCCAATAACTATTCTCTTGTAAGAACTCCAGGTAGAGGCTCAGTGCTTGTGGCTCAAATGGCTAAGGCGCCAGCCACATACACCTAAGGTGGCGGATTCGAATTCAGCCCAGGCCCACCAAACAACAATGATGGCTGCAACCAAAAAATAGCCAGGCATTGTGGGGGGTGCCTGTGGTCCCAGCTATTTGGGAGGTAGAGGCAGGAGATTCGCTTGAGCCCAGAAGTTGGAGGTTGCTGTGAGCTGTGATGCCACAGCACTCTACCCAGGGGGACGGCTTGAGGCTCTGTCTCAAAAAAAAAAAAAAAAACCCCAGGTAGATCCCCTAGGTCAGTGGTTCTCAAAGTTCCTAGTGCCGCAACCCTTTAACACAGTTCCTGTGGGTCGAGACCGCTGCTCTAGGTAGAGGTGCCTAAGGTAATGACCCAAGATAGCCCCCTGTCCAGGTAAAGGTTCCAGGGTATACCCTGAGAGCACCACCTTCTCTCCCTCTGGGGACATCTCTATAGCAACCAGAGGACCGGAAACATACAGTCCGCCTGGCAATGGGCAATGGACTCCGGGCTGATGTGTGGAAGACATTCCAGCAGCGCTTTGGTCCCATTCGGATCTGGGAACTCTACGGTTCCACGGAGGGCAACTTAGGCTTCGTTAACTATCCCGGGCGCTGTGGGGCTCTGGGCAAGACAAGCTTCTTTCTTAGGGTAAGTGGGTTGGGGGTTGGTGTGAGAGTGACCCTAATTAAGATTGTGCCCACAGGACCTATGCTGTCACTCCCCACCCTCCACCCCAGGTGCTGTCCCCCTTTGAGCTGGTACAGTGTGACAGAGAGACTGAGGAGCCTGTGAGGGATAATAAGGGCTTCTGCGTCCCTGTGGGGCCAGGTATGAGGGTTTGGGGAACCTTTCCTGGGGTGGGTGGAGACCTTCAGTTTCCTCCTTGTCTGGAACTGACCAAAGCCTTGAGATTGATTCTCAGTAGAGATATATACATACAATCCTCATCTGAACCTTGAGTCCCTGGCCATTTGTTTTGGACCCTCTGCTTCAATCTCTCCTTCTGGTCTGTTGAATCTCTGGGGGTGTCCATCTGAGCTGTTCTCTCGAACTTTCTGTGAGGGTCACATCTTCCAGGCATCAGTCCTTTGTCCTGCACCTTCTCTTAGTGTCTTCTTTCCTGGGGCCTTGCAAGGTCCTGGTCATATGTCTTTTTACCCACCATTTATGTGTGTCCCTCTTCCATTCCTTGTTCTTTCTCCTTTTTCTTTATTGGCTCTCTTATGTTACTTTCTCTCTACTTGTCTCATTTTCTGTGTCCCCCTGCCCCAGTCTCTCAGGGTCCTTATATCTTTGGGTCAGCCTCTGGCAGGGTCCTGGGTGATAAAGAGAACTTTATCGTTGGATACCTCCAGCCGGGGGTTGGTGGGCTCCAGGGGTTCTAGTTTCTGGCTGATAACTCCACTTCCGCTCCTATTCCAGGAGAGACGGGGCTCCTTTTGACCCAGGTGTTAGGCCGCCACCCTTTCGTGGGCTACTGTGGCCCCCGGGAGCAGTCAGAACGGAAGTTGGTGCGGGACGTGCGGCGCACGGGTGACGTTTACTACAACTCCGGGGACACAATGGCCATGGATCGTGAAGGCTTCCTCTACTTCCGCGACCGCCTTGGGGACACCTTCCGGTCTGGGGCGGGATTTCTGGGGCGGGGCTTTGGGGCCGGTTCGGACCCTGGAGGGGGCGGGGCTTGGAGGGCAGGAGGCTGGGCCTCCTTGCCAGGGGCGTGGCGTGTTCGCAGCTGAGGCTCCAACCTTGCAGATGGAAGGGTGAGAATGTCTCCACGCGGGAGGTGGAGGGCGTATTGTCACAGGTGGACTTCCTGCAGGCGGTTAATGTCTACGGCGTGTCTGTGCCAGGTGCGGAGGGTTTGCTTCATTTTAAACCAACAACTTTGTGAGTGGAGGAATGTTCCAATTTGGGGGTGGGGAGAAAGTCTCAGTCGCTTTGGGGTTGAGTGAAGTCATAGCTTACAGCAACCTCAAACTCTTGGGCTCAAGCGATCCTCTGTCTCAGCCTCTCGAGTAGCTGGTATTACAGGAGCCTGCCACAACACCCGGCTAGTTTTTCTATTTTTAATAGAGATAGGTCTTGCTTTGCTCAGGCTGGGGGATGTTCCAGTTTTATAGGTGGAGAACTGCTAGGGTACAGGAAGATTTAGAGACTTGCCTGGTCATACAGCCACTGAGCAGAGCTGAGCGAGGCTAGAGGGTCAGTTAGGGGCCCCTTGAGATGGGTCAGCTGAGAGTGAACACTGTTTTTCCTAGGGTGTGAGGGTAAGGTGGGTATGGCTGCAGTGCAGCTGGTTCCCGGCCAGACTTTCGATGGGCAGAAGCTCTACCAGCACGTCCGTGCGTGGCTCCCTGCCTATGCTGCCCCTCATTTCATCCGTATCCAGGTGAGTCCAAGGTAGCAGGAGTAGGTGGGTGAGGAATCAGTGCTAGTGGTATGTCACATTAAGGAGGTCATGATCACTGCCCTGCAGGACACTCTGGAGATCACGAGCACGTTCAAATTTGTGAAGAATCGATTGGTGCATGAGGGCTTCAACGTGGGTTTTGTCATTGACCCCTTGTTTATACTGGACCACCGGGCCCAGACCTTCCTGCCTCTGACACCAGACATCTACCAGGCTGTTTGTGAGGGAACCTGGAGGCTCTGATCATCTGACCAGCCCACAGGGGCAGGGACCAATGCCGACTAGCCCCCTCCCCTGTCATCTTCACCCTTGGCCTGCCCGAGGTCATGAATCCCACCTGAATGTATCCCCAACCTCACTGGGCTGGAATTGACAGTGGGCTCTGTAGCAGTGCAAGAGTAAACTTGAATGTATACATGTAAGTCTGTGAGCCTGCATGGATGAAGGGAGAGTGGAGGATTGCAGGGCCAGTGCCTCCAGAGAACTTACTTTAGGGTCTCTCCTGACATCCCCTGTGGGATGACCCTGCTTGGATAAGGCCAAAGGGGTGGGGGGAGCCGGCCAGTCTTGCAGCCACAACTAGGAGGAGAAATAACCCTGACTCCATCTGTCAGGGTTATTTTGTGGCCAATAAAGGGGGCTCAGGTGGGCCAGCAAATGTGGGTCGTCCCCTGTGATCTGCGTTCTGAAGGATGTAGGGGAGAAGTGCTAAGAATGGGCGATCTGACAAGGGCTGGACTAAAGCTAAAGGTAAGCAGGAAGTAATTGGGAGAGGAGCGTCCCCTGCAGAGTGAACAGCAAGGGCAAAGGCCCTGGGCGAGTTGTATAGGCGGGGAAGCCTCTGGAAATTGGAGGCTACACATCTCAGGAGACTGACATACCACCCGGAGCATTGCTGAAAGGTAGATAGGCGAGAGCGGGCGCCTCAGGTCTGTTAAGTGCTGCCTGCTCAGGCTCAGGGCGCGGTGGGAGCTGTGAGCAGTTGCGAGCGGCTACCGAGGTTCCTGGGAAATGTAGTCGGTGACGGCTCAGAAACCGGAACCGTCGCTAGGGGCCTTGAGGAAGCTATGGGCGGAGCTGAGCGGCTACTGAGGCCGTTGGGAAGTGTAGTCCGTCCGGACCCAGAGACCGGAAACGTCGCTCTCGGCATTGTGGGAACTGTGGGCAGGCGCAAGCGGATGCCGGGGCGATTGGGAGGGTAGCTTAGCGACATCTCTGTGACCGGCTGTGATCCTCAAGACACTGTGGGAGTTGTAGGCTAGGCGGCGTGGGCAGGCGCAGTCCACCAGTGATTTTCAGGCTCCCAGCGGGAGCATGACAGTGACAACAGATAGCCCTCCACAGTAACACTTGGATTCGACTGTCCCCTGGTAGTACTGCCGGCCGCAACCCCACCGATCCCTTGACGGTGCGCCACAGTGCCTCGGCCTCCTCGTGCCTCGGCCTCCTCCTCTGGCCCTTGGGCCTCTGTGAGGTCGGAACCTGGCTTCTAAGGAGGAAGCGCAGGGGGCGTCCCATGAGGGCCTTCGGGCAGCTATGCCTTGCCAAGGTCTTCGGGAAGCGAGTGATGCTTCCGCGAACTCGGGTAGGAATTAAGCCTCTGCCCGTCCACCCAGCACCCTGGGGCGGAGTTAGTGCCGTTCTGAGCCTCTGGTCATTTTAGCTTGCGTTCTGCTGTTCGTCATCTGTGGCAGCTGTGCACTGTAATTATCGCACAAGAAGTGGTCATTATTGTCACTTGCTATTTCTCTGACCTTTCTGCATGTCCCCTGTAGAACTGAAGCCCTTTTCATACAACTGGACTTGGATGCAGGCCTACTATGATCCTCTACACATTGTAGGTCATTGCGTTCCTTTACATGCCTGTTTGCTCCAGGAGAGATCCTGGCTGGGAAGGGAGGTAGAGAGCTGGGTTCATATAGTAGCAGAGGCCCGGTGCTGTTTACTGCAAAAATTAAGTTTTCAAGTTGGTTGCATTCTTGTTTCCTTCAGGAGGGACCCCGAGCAAGAAGGGTGCTTGGAGCTATATAAACATAACAGCAGAGACCCAGGCTGGTCACTCTTGCTGCACCTTCAGCTTGCCTCCCTCTGGTGCACAATAGGTCTGATATCATTTGACCAGTATGCTGTGCTGGTTCCCCCACTATGGCACTTCCTTCCTGCCCTGAACATAGTAGGTCCTTGTTACATCAAGGCCCTTAACACCCTTTAGGACCAGAGACCAACCCAGAAAGGAGCTTGGAGTGTATGGAGAAAGCAGCAGAGACTGGTGCTTGCCACTCCCACTTTGGTACCATGCTCCTGCCATGTCTTATGACCATCCTTTGAGATCTGCCAGGCCCTGTTCTCCAGGCTTTCTTGGGCTCCTGTACCACATGACCCATTGCCTAGTGCCAGCCTGAGACCAGATATCTCTGTATCTCTTGCATGCATCATGCTGTGCCAGATTTTAAGTTTTGGTCATACTGCCATGAGGAATGCTGCATTACTGTAGTGCCCAGTTCAAGTGTCTCTGGACAGTGAGGCTGTATTAGTGCATTTCTTACTATCAAACAAAGCTAGCATCTGGAGTTAAGGCTGAGGAATTCCACTTGGTTAACAGATTACCAAATGCTTGATGTGCTAGAGATGTAGGGAAACTGGGGATGTGTGCTGGATTTGACCCTGGGTCTAGATATACTTGCTTCCTGTGGCTCCATTTCCTCCAATGGAAAATGGACTGATGATCACACCTCTCTTGAAGGATATTTGTGGGGATTAAATGCAAAAAGTACAGGGAAAGTTCCCCACCTGATGCCTTGCTGTTGGTGTAGTTGCTCTGGCCATCTATCAGAGCCTCAGTTTCTTCATCTATAGAGTATTGACTCCAACTTACAGTGTCATTGGAGGGGATTGTCATCAACAACAAATAGACATGTCTAGTAACCCTAAAGGCCTCCCCTGGGGCCAGGCTAGTGCTTGTCAATTCATAGCTCATCTTTCCCATGTCTCATAGGGTGAATTGTAGTGTTATTCCCACCATGGTTGAAGAAGCCCCAGGTGGGAGGGGCAGTGAGTTATTTAACCAAGCCTATTATTGGCAGGTGTTGTGACAGAGGGCATGGATATTACATTAAAAAAACTCACTGTAGGCTCGGTGCCTGTGGCTCAAGCGGCTAAGGCGCCAGCCACATACACCTAAGGCTGGCGGGTTCGAATCCCCAGCCCGGGCCCGCCAAACAACAATGATGGCTGCAACCAAAAAATGACCAGGCATTGTGGCGGGCGCCTGTAGTTCCAGCTACTTGGGAGGCTGAGGCAGGAGAGTCGCTTGAGCCCAGGAGTTGGAGGTTGCAGTGAGCTGAAATGCCACAGCACTCCACCCAGGGGGACAGCTTGAGGCTTTGTCTCAAAAAAAAAAAAAAAAACTCACTGTGTGGGCAGCGCCCTTGGCTCAAAAGAGTAGGGTGCCAGCCCTATATGCTGGAGGTGGTGGGTTCAAACCCAGCCCTGGCCAAAAGCTGCAAAAAAAAGGAAAAACCACAAAAAACAAAAACTCACTGTGTGGAAGGAATATGTTCTAGTATTCAGTAGTACAGTAGAGAAATTACAATTAACAATAGTTTATTGCATATGCAAAAATTGCTGGAAGAGAAGAATTGTAATGTTCCAGCACAAAGAAGATAAATATTTGAGGTAGGATCAACCAATTACATATTGTATACGTGTTATCCAAATATCACATGTAGGCCAGAGTGTAATCCTAGCACTCTGGGAGGCCGAGGCAAGTGGATAGCTTGAGCTCATGAGTTCAAGACCAGCCTAAGCAAAAGCAAGACCCCCCCCCATTTCTACCGAAATAGAAAAACTGAGAGAAGAGGATCACTTGAGCCCAAGAGTTGGAGATTACAGTGAGTTATGATGCCATGGCACTCTACCCAGGGCAACATCTTAAGACTCTGTCTCAAAAAAAAAATCACATGTATCCCTAAAATATGTACAACTATTATATATCAATATTTTCTTTTTGAGAAAGAGTCTCATTTTGTCACCCTCTATAGAGTGTTATGGCATCATAGCTCACAGCAACCTCAAATTCTCGGGCTCAAGTGATTCTTTTGCCTTAGCTTCCTTAGGGGATTCCCAAGTAGCTGGGACTACAGGTGCACGTCACGACGCCTAGCAATTTTTTAGAGACAGCGTTGTCTCAAACCCTGAGCTCAAGACGTCTGCCCGCCTCAGCCGCCTAGAAGGCTAGGATTACGAGAGCCAGCCACCTCACAGAGCTTATATATAAATTTTTTTTTTTTTTGAGACAGTCTCAAGTTGTCACCCTCGGTAGAGTGCCGTGGCATCACAGCTCACAGGAACCTCCAACTCCTGGGCTTAAGTGATTCTCTTGCCTCAGTCTCCCAAGTAGCTGGGACTACAGGCGCCCACCACAATGCCTGGCTATTTTTTGGTTGTAGTTGTCATTATTGTTTGACAAGCCCAGGCTGGATTCGAACCTGCCAGCTCCAGTGTATGTGGCTGGTGCCCTGGCCGCTGAGCTATAGGCGCCGAGCCCCTATATATCAATTTTTTAAAGAGAAAAGAAACAGAAAACTAGTAAAAAAAAAAAAAAAATTCTCACTGTGGAGATATTTAAGGTAATCACCACTTTATACAAATCTGTTCCCCCCTCAATCCTAGCCAACTTTTGCTATTATATTTGCAGGGATTAAAAAATAACACAGTAGGCCAGGCATGGTGGCTCACACCTGGAGACAGGCAGATTGCTTGAGCTCAGGAGTTCAAGACCAGCCTGAGCAAGAGTGAGACCCTGTCTCTAAAAAATAGCTGGGTGTTGTGGTGGGCGCCTATAGTCCCAGCTACTTGGGAGGCTGAGGCAAGAGAATCACTTGAGCCCACGAGTCTGAGGTTGCTGTGAGCTATGATGCCATGGCACTCTACTAGGGGCTGACAAAGTGAGACTCTATTTCAAAAAAAAAAAAATCCTTAATGCAATACCAAAAAGCAATACATTCAGCTGGAGTGATAATAAACAGAAAGAAGGAGGGGAGTGAATCCCGAGGGACCCCACCACAACAGATCTCCAGGGACTGGAGGCCAGGGGCAGAGTGAGAAGAGTGGGTGATAGGACAGAGAGGAAAGGTCTCTTGCTACAGTGAACTGGCTGAACAAAACTTTTTTTTTTTTTTTTTTGAGACAGTCTCAAGCTGTTGCCCTCGGTAGAGTACCATGGCATCACAGCTCACAGCAACCTCCAACTCTTGAGCTTAGGCGATTCTCTTGCCTCAGCCTCCCAAGTAGCTGGGACTACAAATGCCCACCACAATGCCCAGCTATTTTTCTGTTGCAGTTGTTATTGTTATTTAGCTGGCCTGGTCTGGGTTCGAACCCACCAGCCCCGGAGTATGTGGCCGGCGCCCTACCCACCGAG